AATTAATTAGGAATATTGACCTAAAGATAAAACCCCCCACTTGACGTTGCCAATTCCAACCCAGTATTAATGAATGCATGTTTTCTTTGCTTTTGTTAACATATGCAGTAATTGCTTCAGTTTCTTACCAGCGTAGGAGAGTTTTGGTCAGGCCAAAAGGCCTCAGGAATTGGCCAGTGACCAATAGGCACGCCTGTTTTAGGATTGGGTCGAACATAGATGAGTTTGTGACAACAATGCCAAGGCTGTGGTCCGGACTTCAACGCCTCAGCTGGCGTATCTGCACAGAATATACAGAAACTAATTAATTTCAATAAAAAGAGCTTGGTGGAAGTTAGACAAAAAGAGTATTTATAAAACGGGAAACAGAAAAGGAGGCTGTGAAAAGACAAAAAACAAAAAGAGTATTTAACAAACGGGAAACAGAAAAGGAGGCTGTGAGAAAGAAAAGAGCGTGTAGGAAGTGAAAACACAAAGGTACGAGTCTACAGAGTGACATCCGACAGTTGCTTGAGAGCAACAGCAAAGAAAAGCTGGGATGATTAAAACAGTGTGTGGGTGAGAGGGAAGGTTCTCTGCTAATCAGCTCCATGCAGAGCAGAAGTTGTCAAGGGGGTCTTCTAAAATTAAATTCTGCCTTTTTTTTCCTCTTGTCGAAGAGCAGAGGCCTGTTACCTTCCAGGGGAGGAGGATCAGGCCCAGTCTTCTCAAAGTTAATCACCACACCACTCTGGATTTTCTGCACCAGAGACTCCAGACATTGATTCAACATCCTCTGAGAGAAAACACTGTAAGAACGTCCTGCAAAACACAGAGACACAAACACTTGCATAAACATGGTAATGTCATGACACAAACACAAACAAATATGGTCTCAATCTCAAAATGGTTCTGGTGCACTGTGAGAGATCATTAGGTGCTGTGGAAAATATAGCAATTTCACACAACAATTTGGAAACACTGGCCAAAGCAAACAGTGAACACAAAACCTCAAACCCATCTTTGGGACTTCAGAATCATTAGTGTTCAAGAGAAACACCAGGACTAACAACTTATCCTGTCATGTACAAATGGCCCCACCTTATGAATTGTCCTTTATTTCCTTATAGAGCTGACCTGACTCGAGAGTGAACCAAGTGATAATCTAATACAGTGTCCATTTCCCTTTATGGCTCTGCCAACACCTGTGAGAAATATCTGACTCATTAACCACTAAATACTCTACTTTCTTTTCCAGCCTGTCTCTATTACAGCATACCTGTGTGAGGTGCTTAGCAGGAAGTCAACCAGTGGGTTTGTCAGAGACTGTTTGTTGTTACATACTGTTGTTACTCCAGCTGTTGTGAAATTTAACATGAGTCATACAATGTTTGGGGCACAAGGAATCAAATTATGAGCTACAGGAGGCTGAAAGGAAACCCAAAAGGAACCTTTAGAGATAATTATTATACCTACATTATAGATAGTATCTCTTTAGTGAGTACCGCTACATAGAGTTAATATGTACTTTAATGTGTCCTTTGTAATGGCCTTAAACGATTTTGCAGCCAAATGTGAGTTATCTAGTACAGAGATATTCAGACCACTACCAAAAATATTCAAAATATTTGTCTCCTCAAGTACCCTCAGACAATCACACACTCATACGAGAGCGAGAGAGTAAGAGAGAGACAGAGAGAGCTGTATTTAACAACAAAATTACTTAACTAAATAGTGTAACACTAGAGGTAGCACAAGTGGTCCACCGACCATAGTTTGGGATCCACTGGTCTATTAGATTACCATAAAAAACTATCTACAACTAATATAGAGAATAGCAACCATTGGTACGTTAGTCAAAAGGCTTGAAGTAACTTACAAGAAAACTTCAATTTAGGAGAATGTTATAGAAATCAAATTATCTTGTGAATATTTTAATTTTCCTAAGGATCAAATTTATTTAAATACAGTTGTAATAATTGAATGATAATCACTGTAGAGATATTCAGAATACTAATTATTACCAAGAAGATGACTGGATTATTGTGTCTTAGTTGTGAGAAGGAGGATTACACGACTGTAAGATTTATGTTAACCAAAATATATAAAGCTCAAAATGTTTCCACAGTACATCATTTTGGATTCAGATTACAAAAAAAACAAAAACAAAAAAAAAACAGAACACATGTTCAGTGTAACTTCCCTGTTCCACTACTCTTCTGACCTTTGCTGCCTACAGCTCCACCTCTATCCACTCTGTGCTGCGTCCTTTTTTATTCACCCATTGTAAAAGGCTGTGGCTTTGTGTCAGATCTGCCATCAGCAGTAATAGACGGCAGTAGACTGTCAGTGACAATGAAGCTGTGTCATGTTCCACATTCAGTACCAATGACCATTATTCACAACCTGCCACCAGCATCATTCTGGTTGGTTCCCCCGTCATCTATTTTTATTATTGGACAGCAGGAAATCTCCCATAAACCCACATTCTCACTGCTCAAAAAATAATTAAATGGTTAAGTTGGGAACAGGACAAAAAAACGCTACACCATTTATCTTCCAGCTGTTAAAAAAAACAAAAGATATTCTGTTCCTAGTCATCTTTGGTAAGGAATTTATACATGTGTTAAATATTCCAATAAAGATGTTTTATTAGAACACTTTTTCATTAGAAAATGTATTTCAAAGAAAACAACTCACACTGTTTTCTTTTAATGTGGTTAAAAAAGGGTGTGGTCTTCAGTTAGTGTTTGACTATGGCTGGAAGCAGCTGTCCCTTTGTTTATGATAATTGGAAATACAATTGGCAATTATAGACTGTTACCTAACATTAACTATCTCTGAAGTAGAATGTTGAGCTTGGTCAAATTCTTTCCATCACTGAGAACAACAAAGTCACACCTTAATTGCACACAGACACGTTCTAAAGTTCTAATACAGAAATGATAGGTGTAAGCTCTGATATAGATGAGTCCATCTAGAAATCTAAACTTATGTTACTTGTTTTTTGTTTCCTTTTACATAGTATTCACTCTAAGGCGTTTACAGCTTCCTGTTACCATGTTAGTGATGTCACAGAGTTTGACAAAAACACCAGCAGGCAGAACAAAGTCTAGAAATGTGTACCTGATCATTTTAATTCTATTTTAATGTTCATTGAATGAGTAACTACTGAATATTAATTCTGATTAAGAGAACATTAAAATGCATTTCCATAACAGGAACTAGAAGCAGCAACTATGGACTGAGACAAACTGTTGCTTACCTCCAGTGACCTCACACATTGGAGTGATGGGAGAATCGTCAGACGGGACACCACCGAGGGGTTCAGGCTCCACTGAGGCATTACCAGCGATCCTCAGCACCAAAGCAAACAGACGCTGGTCCCAGCGGAAGGGTTCCTTCGTCAGTTCACTGCCCGGCAAAGGGGTGGTCAGAGGCAGATGGAGCTAGAGAGTGTAAAACGAGCCATAGTGTCAGCCACAAAAAAGGATTTTCTACAAAAGTTGGTTAGTAATTCAAATCTGCAAGTTGGAGTTGGGCTATTCATTTTGGTTTAAATGGCATAATGTATAATCAGTTCCCGCTTTTTCCTTCTGCTTGTATCTAAATTGACGGAACCACACGGTCATCACGAGAGCTACAAATTACACAGTGGCTGAAGATACAAGTATTCTAACTACACAGCTTAATGGAACTATCTCCATTACACAGAGAGGAGCATCAGTAATATTTAGTATGGACTGCCGATGCAGAGATGACAACTTTATGAGCAGAGATAAATATTAATGGTGGAGTGAGTTACTGAGGGAATGGGTTTAATCTGACAGAAAATGAATCACTGTCACTGCAGCCATCAAAAAACACACAATGTCTAATTATAAGGAAAGGGAAATGATTGACAAAAACCTAAGAAACCTACAGTAAATAATCCACAAATAAGTTTTAATGTTGACTGTGTGATCGCAGGCTCCTATTTATCATGTAACCCAACAGGAAAAACTCCTGATGAACTGAGATGTCTTTTTTTAATGTTGGCTCACCTCATCTTGGACTCCACTGCTGCTTGTCAACTTGTTTCCATCAGTGACAGCAATTATAATGGCAGGTTCCAGAAAGAATGGGTTCCTTCCCTATAAACAGTAGGAGAATTAAGGATTAACAGTGTTTATTAACTGATAGTGAAAGGAGCTACTCCCTGCTGACACTGGACAAAAGGCGAGGCATGTCGTGGACAGGTTGCCATTCTTTCACAGAAGTGCATATAGAGACAATCATTCACATGAACAGAAGAAATAGTAAAGTAAAGTAAAGGTCCTGACTAAAACAACTAAAACCAGAGTTTAGTTGTTTAAACCACACTTGTTTTATAGGCATCATAAATGTGATGACATCACTAGCTCATTGACAAAGTTGCATCTGTGCCATTTGTTTGCTATCAACAACACTGGTACAGTATATAAATGGTGGATCTATATGAAACCACTTTGCTACAATATTTAAGAACATCAGCATTTCACATTAATAAAATAAAAATCAAGCAGCAACACATTCATCTCTGCACACTAGGCCTGTGGGCTCCTCCACAGTGGCCAACTTCCACCTCAAAGAAGCCCAACATCCTGTCAGCAGTCAGCACACTGGCTCTCACTGCAGACTCCATAAAGGCCATGCTGTATCGACAGTGGTGCAGTTATTAAAGGATGTGGACCCACATGGTGTGAAGAGTACCTGTAGGCTGTGGTTTCAGCTGAAAGATACATTTGTCCAGTTTTAGAATCAGCAGAGTAAGGAGAGGGAAGATGCCACAAAGAATCACATGGCTGTCGGTATCCATGACAACCACAGCCCCGATTCCCCCTACCTCCTTAAAATCCTGTTATGATATTGGTCACTTTTCTAGCATGCTAATGAGAAGTTGATGATGCCACCTTGGTAGAAGAATTATGTTTTCATTCATGTCATGTCATAATAGTGTTGCTCTGCTATTAGTTCTGGTCACATCAGATTAACAGACAGACACAATCAGCAAGCTCTTTGTAATGACATCTGCACCAGCAACACTGCGTATGGAGCTTCAATGTGGAAATTGGATTCTCCATTTTCTAATGAGGTAGATAACTGAACGAGGGCTGCAGGCATTTGTGAATGGACAAAAAATACTTCTTGTATTTACACAAGAATTTGTACATGTTGAAACAATCTTCAACCCTATGTCAAAGACGTAGGGTAAACTGTTTTAAAAATTAAAAAGAATTTAAAACAGCCATAAAAATGCAATTTCTGTTGAGTTGCTCCAAAGACAAGTAGCGAGCCAAGGCTGACTTTCAAGTCTAACTTTGTTATTGCACAACTACAGTCCATTCTTGGTGTTCAGGAGTCAATATTCCATAAAAACAACATCAGTGGCCGAGGGCTGTCAGCCTAAATGTCCCTGCCCATCACTCTTTGTTGTAGATTATTGGTCCATAACAAAAAATAGGAACAATGGTGCCTCCGACACCTTAAACGCGCTTGTTGTTGTAGTAGTATCTGTATCTGTCACAGCCCCAGTGTCTGACAAACAACAGACCATAAATTTAATAAATTCACCAAAACTCATCCAGATATTGATTACACATTCAAATTGTCATGGAATACAGCAGATCAATGTCAACACCTTCCATCATATGCATGTCTTTTTAAACCAACACTGCTGGATCTATGGCCTGTCATCACAAATGTTATGGCAGATGGAGATCCAATAAATCATCTTAACCTTAGACCAAACATAAACCCTTATATAATTATATAATCTTGCTGCCATTTTTCTTGTCCTCTTTTTAAACCCTTTCGCTGCTCTCCTAATGAAACAGTCATCAGTGTCAGGATAACATGCGGGTCTGTCTCCCTCCCGTCCTCCTTGCCCCCTCCTAATCTCCCAGGGGAGAATCGTCTCAGATGCCTGGCAACCTTGAGGACTCTTTGTTACTGTAGAGAAAAATCACTCCAGGGCAATATTAACTTAGCACAGACTCATTCCCCTTTGTCTGGTCGCTCTCTGGATCTCAAACCCATTGAACATCAACAAAAACACTAAAAACCACACATAACATACAAATGTTATTGCAGTGGAATTTCAAATACAAAGTAGATGTAACACTTCCATTTGTAAACCTTTGATTTACAGAACAAGACACTAACCAAGATTTTAAAAAAAACATGTGCAAAACAGTAAGTGTGCGTAGGCAGAAGAGCGATGATGAAACCTGCCTCAAAAAAAAAAAAAAAAAAAAAAAGAAATGTACTGAAAAGGAAGCTGCCTGACTGCTCTGTGCTCTTCATCCACTGAACTAGTAATTAGAAAAGTAAACATTCTTCAACTCTCAATGGCGCACAATAACAGAGTCTCTTTTTTTTTTATGCAATGACAAACAGGTTAGGCATCAACTGATCGGACAACAATAGCAAATTACTACAGCACCACAGAAGGTATGATGCCTTGTAGCATGATTAGTTTTGAATTTAAACAGTTTAGAATTTGTCAAAACTGTAAATGAATATGCTTGGGTTGGATAATAGAAGTACTTCATTAATCCCTGAAAAAACTCATTATTGGATAGAACAGAAGGGGAAAAAATCAATATCTCACAAGTGCCCCTTTTCTGCACAGCTAAATTGATAGGGTTTACAGAATTATACAGTTTTTGTCAAGCTTAAATGAGAGAAGCTGGTCAGTTTGTAAACAATTATAACAAATTCGTTAAAAGGAGTAGATTAAGGAGTCATTTAATCAGAACTGTAAGTCGCTTTGGATAAAAGCGTATGCTAAATGTAATGTAATTATCATTGGAGCCCATGTTTTTACTCATTAAAATATAGAAAATGAAGGAGAATTTCAGAGAATCAAGATGCCCTTGTGTCATGGACCAGGTTTACTGCCATTAACAGAGCAAAGAAACCAGAAGCCAGAATAAAAAAACATTTTGATTACAAAAAATAGTGTAAAATAAATAAGATATACAGATTAGATTTACTAGTGCATTAGTAAACTAATTAGTAGACTAATTTACTCAATGTAATACCTCAAGCAGCCACTATCTCAATGTTGTAATTACTATTAACTAGTATCTCTGAAAACTAGTAAGATAGTAATTACAACACTGATCACTTCAGCAACAAACTGTGGTTACAGCAGAGCATGACCTCTATTCTGAACAAACTGCTTTTCTTCCAGGTGTAGACAAGAGAAAGACTTGGTCATTACTTATAATGACTGTCAAATCAACCTGTCATCAGAGGTCACTGGCAACCAGAGCAGGACACAGCAACCTTGATTTTTGTGTTTGTGGGTGTGTGTCATGTCGTGTTTACAGACGTGTGTGTGTGTTCATATTGTTCCTGCTGGCCCCATGGCAGGGTTGGTATTTCACATTCAAACTCCCTGTAGGAGTCAGACATACATTATGTATGTTACATGTACTGTATGCATTAGGGTGCCCTGAATGGTAAGAAACCTCCCATCACTTCACTCAGGAAAGGCTTGTTAACAATTCAGCATTTGCTTCTGGCTTCATAATGGAAAAAAGAGCAATCCACCTATCAGGCTCAACAGTAAAACTAGTCTTCTGCCTCAAACAGCACTTCATTTTCAATCCGTGTAGAGAATACCTCCCAGGACGATGTGATAAAATTCATCTCTCACAGTACGTTTTCTGGGTTTGAGTAAAGATCAAGGTCAAGCCTCTCTGGATGTTTTTTTCAGTTGCAGTTCAAGTCCTGATGATAGAACTGTCATGTGTTTACAGATAAGTCACGAGGAGCTTAATGAGAGCAAACACCAAACAACTATTTCTCTCCCTTGCTTTCTGAGGAACTTCATGTTTCAACAACTGGACAGGACAACAGCAGCCCAAACTGGTAATGTCATCTAAAGCACTTTTTGGAAGTGACCCAGAAATACTGAATTAGTAACAGACTTCTCGTGGGCACAATGAATATCTAAGCTTCCAGCTGTTGCTTAAGTCAAAAGTTCTGTTTACCCTGAATATAAAAACTCATCATGTGAAGTTGTAAAAGGTAAGATAAAAAGTGCAAAAAACTTTAGTTTTATACTGATGATCCTAAATGCCATTTCCAACATTTCCTTAAACACTGACATATTTCTTGTAAAGAAAAAAATGAATCAATCCATTTTTCAGTAAATGTTGTTTAACAGAGCATTGGAAAAAGCTCTCTCTTCATAGTAGACACTTCATAAAAACACAAGTGAAATACAGAATAGTCTCTGGTAAACAAAGAACTTTACTGTGTGGTTGCAATATTACTATAAATCACAATTACTCCTTAGACCTCAAAGTTCATCTTTACGTTTTGTTTTTTTACCATTACATAGCATGGACAGAATAATGCATAATAATTAAATTCATTGAGCCAAATTTACACTTGTACTGAACACCAAGCAAATTCAGTAGGGGTCCAGGCAGAGTGTATTTTAAAAGCCTGTATAGAATCTATGTTTTATTTTCTTTTATATTTCATTTATTTTCTGTATTAATTTTAGGAAGCATCTAGAACTGAACACATACCTGCTGGCAGGAATTGCTGTATTCATTAGCTCAGGATGAGCCTGCACTTAATTTACTGTAGATGCTAACCTCAGTGGTTATGGCCAAAGTAGTGTATGAATCACTTCACAGTAAAACTATATAACTTCCATGTTTTAATAATAACCTAAAATTTTCCATATGTTTGCCTACATGAATGAACAATATTGAACTATCCAAAAATTCACCATTATGATTGATTCACTACTACTTTTAAATATAATAATTTCTGGCACCAGTAATAGCCACCAACATGGTAAAATTTTGAGATACTGACAGTTTACGTTGCTCCTTTTAGCTTGTTGTTTTTATGGTTGTGTCTTGAGCACGTGACTGAATGTGTGCGGGGTCACAGTATGCAGGTGGTTGATGCTTGTAAGACTGTGGATAGGGGTTAGGGAGCAGGGGTGGAAGAGTCTGAGGGGGGGATGGGGTCATAGTTGTCATAACAACACTTTCTAAAACCCCGATTTTCTGTTTGTTCTTCTTCAGAGCTACATACCTGTCCATAGTTGTCTATCCCAGTCACTAATCTATTGAGATTGAGTAAATCAAAAGCAGTCCTCAAGGAATGGCCGATTGTTGTGAGTCCGGTGGCCTGGAGGTTTCGTAGCTCTGTCATGAACGTGGCATGAGTCTCCTTCCACCCAGCCTTTAAAAACAAACAGAAACAAAACAACTGTGTTAATAAACACATTGGTTTTTAAAAAATGACATCAACACTAGTCAATGATTACCTCAAGGGGGTTGATTGAGATTCAAAAGAGTAGAAACGTACTGTTACTGCATGATTTCTTACCAATGAACTTTTGCTTTCACAATTGTATCATGCACCTTGTCAGAGAAAACTATTGAGGACAAACTGACCAGTACATGAGGTCAGGTAAATAGTTTAACCTGTGTCCAAGAGAGAGCTATAGTATATAATGACATTAGATTAACAGTTTAGGGTTTACTATCTGCCTGTTAAAGTGGTAGTAACATTTTTGTGTTACTGTAAGTGTGGTAGTGACATTTTTGTCTTCTGCTTTTGGTTTTAAGCCATTGCCATCTTTTGGTCCAGATGCCTTCATCATTATAGTTTTGATAAGGATTAGATAAGGGCACACATCCTTATCTAATAAGTTGGTTTATAGACCTCATCTGTGTCAGGAATCCAAGAATCCCCAGCCATATGGTGAATGAGTGAAGATTCCTGGTTTATTTTGACAAAGGTCAAACAAATAAATTCAAAAATATAATAATTACCAGGAGATAATCTTTTTTAAATTTACTGTCTTGGTTATTATGTTTAGTTTAAGGCTCAGTCTTGGGCTTAATCTGAAAATGGTGAAGAACTGAAGAAAAAGGTTCTCATCTATATCTATTAAGTTGTTTTACACTTTAAAATTTGCCAGCCAGACTGTCTTTTTTTTTTTGAACAGTCAGATTATGTTTAAATAAACCCAAAGGTTTGTGATATATATAAAAATAAGTATAATTGCAGTTAGGATGATAACTAAATAAATGTCTGTATTTTCTGAGATACTTAATATATTTTCATCTAAATATCATCTTGCATTTTTATGAACTATATGCAATTTTGGAAAAGATCCACCTGAAATTTCAACCTGCACCCTTATCCTCTAAGTCCAAATTGTCTACCTCTGGCTCTGATATAGGTCGCTGACACTCTCTCTCTCTCCCTCTTCCTTCCTTCCTTTTCTCAAGACAGTAATGTGACAGCATAGCAGCCAAGTCCCTCGTCTGTTTCTGCCAGGCCACTAAAACCAGCATGGAGTCATGTATGTCACAAAGCAGCAACAAAAGTCTCCGTATGCTTTCGATATTCACTGACAATTTGTTCCAAACTACTTAAGGTAGTCTGTCGCCCTTTCTCCCTCCTCCTCCTCCTCACCCCCTCCCAAAAAGATATCACCCTCGCTGTATAAATAACACCCAGAGTTCCTTGCTGCTCACATTGAAACAAAATGTCGGCCATGTTTTAAAAGGGGTATGAAAGCTCCTCCTGAAGATCTTATTCTCTACACAACTGATGTAGTGATCACAGCGTGGCGGTGGTGGTGGAGTCGTGGAGGAAGGACAAGTCAATCTGCGCAATGTAAAGCTGGACATGACCCGAAAACAAACTCTACCTTGATCCCGAAAGGAACGTCGTCAAAATTTACCAACATATACCGGTCCCCTCGGCTCGCCGGATCTCTCCCTCTGAGCTGTGGAAAATAATAGAGAATTATTTACGGTTATCAAGAGAGTTTGACAGGCGAGCTTTGCAACAGCATAACCAACATCTGGGGGATCTCCCCGTGTATGAATGTGTCCCGTGGTTACAGTACCTTCATAAAAGTCTCAACAGCGCCTTTTGCTATGTCCAGATAGGTAGTGCCCAGATGGGTGCGCTGGTTCATTGAAGCGGACGTGTCTATCAGAAAAAGTAAAACGGGCATTGTGATGGTAATGACACGTTCTGCATGGACTTAGTGTCAGTACAAACGGCCAAAACGCAGAAAAAAATCTTTTGTTCTCCTGCCGCCACTATCGGCTCTCAGCTAGCTAGCTAGCTGGCTAACTGTCTGTCTCACACATTCTTTCAAAAAAGTGTAAGAATAGTGAGTGTAGAAGCCCTTTCCGGGCAAACTAAACTAAAAATCCCAAACCCTATGGGCAGGTTATTGGTTTACGAGGGATTTTGGTTATTTTTACAATATTCTGCAAATATTTCTAAAGTTCATACTAACAAAGTTCCCCCCTCATTGAATGTCCCTGCTTCTCCCTACACTGAATGCGCTGTGGCTTGTCCACTGGTTTTCAACTCAGCATCGAGTTTGGCCCCGCCTCCGCAGCGGTCTTTCACTCTCACGTGGACAAAATCCCGTTTTGTATTGGCTGTCTCAAGCCACTCATTACCATATCCAAATAAGGCTAACACTGAGCTTCTTATACGCATGCGTGCTCGCCCGAGAGGCAGGAATGTGAGGAAAATATTCCTTAGATGTATTTTGTCTTAAAGAATCAACATTTGGCGACGCTTTCGTCTTTTTCCCGAGCATCCCGAGCATTTTAGTGCACTGTGCTCATCTACTGCCTGTGTCCGCGCTGAGAGTTGATTACATAATCAACACTTACTTCATCCTATGCACGGGCGTGGGCTGCTGTGAAAGACTATAGACACAAGGCAAAAACAAAACCGAAGGCAATACATTCATTCTAGCAAAGAAACGCACTGAGGATTTACATAGACCTATCAGTACCACTTGTGCATTGATGGTGATGACCACACAAAGACTGCAGTTTGACTTTGATGCGTAATGATGTAAAGGAGAATAGGCTTTCACTGAGGATTGATGTGCGTCCATATACTATATATTGCACCTGAAATATGGCTCCGGATATTTCACTTTCCTTATTTCATATTACAAGAAGAAGTGAACAGAAAATGTAAACATTATTTTAAACTAAAGAGTATTTATATGCCTTAACTGATCTGTTCCCAATGACACATGACACCAGAGCAGACGTGCACGATTGTGCAATGCAATTTGCATAATGTAACGCCTTGGAAAATATCATCACTTCCGTAAAAATAAGAAGGAACCATCCGGCAGCTTCTAACAGGGAACAGTAGGAAGGTCTACTGCGTCTTGTTTGACAAGAGTTCACTGTGGCAAGTCGCACAAAATTTCATTTTCCCGTGGAACGTTCACGATGTTTTCACAATAAAAGCTTAAATTTTGGTCGCACCTGTTTAAGAAAAATGCACCGAGACTCTCCTTTGTGTGTTTTAATAGCAATATAATTGAAACGAAAAATAAAGCTACTTTATCTGGACTTTACCACAGAGTAACTGATAACATGACCAGCCTTGATCTAAACTATTAGGAGGGATTTGAAGTGTTTTACAATATTATTGCATTTCTTGACGTTGACCCACTACTTTATCATTCACAGATAATATTGGAATGTATTTCGTAATAATAATATACACCTTTTACTTTCTTGAATTCTAACTTAGCAAAAGTATGCAATATAACAGCCAATGGATTTAACTCTGAAAGTCATAACCGGACGTCTTGACGTTTTGTTGTTACGGACACTTCACAACTATAAATTCCCATCCACTGTTACTATCTTTGGCACTCCAGTGACGATTTGTAAAGTTACCAAAAATAAACTTTGACAAGTTGTTTGTGTTTAACATCAAGGGGCCAGATATTCACTGTATTCTAGGAAGTAATTTGCTTACAGTGGGCTAAGAACAATACCGTTTATTATCATTTTAGAACCTATTATTTTTAATAACAGCTTATGAAGATATTTGTATAATATTCTTTAGAGAACTAAATAATATCCTCAAAACTATGTTTAGTCTCTGCAAAGAAGTGGTCAAAGCTTTATATACTATTAGAAGTAACTATTGTGTCAAGTCATAAGCCTGTAGAGGGAGCCACGGCACACATGTCCTGTTACATACAATTCTCAAGTATGGATCTCAATGTTGGCATCTTGTATTGTAGCTCGTATCATTAAGAATAAAGCCATACAGGAAAGATATATACATATAAAAATGAACACGGTTTTGTTAAAGTTACGTTTTCTTGAGTTATTAAACGGCGTTCTACTTTCCTTAGTAACAGACCAGAGTGATGATTCATCACTCAACATAGAAAGAACATAAACATAGAAAATAATTACTAATTATTATCTAGTGAGGATGTTTGTGGTCACACATTTGTGAATTATTGTGTTTTACATGTCTTGGATGAGAATTGAGGCAGATGTAATGTTTTCTATAAATGTCAGCAGAGTGTAGGTCTGTAACTGTACCGCGAGGGGGAGTGTCCTCTAAAGCGAGCGCTAATTTTAATTTGCGACGTCAGGCTGACGTTCCTCAGACAGCTAATAGCCTGCTATGAACCGGTGACTTTGTCTCTTTATTTACTGTGTAAACAGGTTAGTAAAGTGCGTTAACTGACCGCAATTGATGTATAAGGACTGTTAAAACCCTTTTGTATGTACAAATGAAGTCTGTTAATAAAGATATTACGTTGTAAACCGTGAGAAGTGAAGTAGAAGTAGTCCCGTTTTCCCGCGAAGAGGACAACTATAGAAAATGGCGGTCTGTCGATATTTTCATTTGTATTTGTGTGGCTCCTGTGCATTTATTGTCATTTCGTTTTATGCAAGATATCTGAATGTTTATGCTCAAGTTACTAATTCAGGTTAAAATCGGACGTTGATGTGTAGTTTACATGATAGTTTATATTATGAAAAATGTGTTAAAACAGGCAGTGGTATGGTTAAAAACTAAATAGTGTTAAAAGCACAAGTAAAACAGTATATAGCTGGTTGAAATAGTAATAATATGACTTTGGGGACACAATTGTTTATTTCATTTTATGTTGGAAAACTGATATATGCAGTTAGCATTTATTTTGTGTATTTGTGGAGCATGATGGCTGAAGAACATTATGAATGGTGGAATTGAGCACAAGAAGAGTTGATTCTGATAGTAAAGACAGCTAATAGCCTGCTCTGGAGAACGCAACCGATGACTTTGTCTCTTCTTTTCTTGTGTAAACAGGTTAGTAAAGATACATCTGTGAACAAGTAACTCATCTTGAGGCTTGTAACAGAATTTTGGAGGCACCGCTGGGATCAGCGTCATATGTGAGGTGATGCAGATCTTCTAATCCACGAACCCAAGGCAGACATCACAGGATTTACGAGGTGGAGCGGCAGGTGTATGACTGAGGTGGAAACGGGACCACAGAGTGCGAGAGGACCCCAAGCTGGAGGAGTGCATCACTGCTGGCTCAAGGTTGTAGCACTGTGAAACACTGCTAAGAGAAGGGGGCAGCATAGAGGACACTGAAAGAAAAGGTTAAGTGTGAAGATAAAGAAAGAAGAGGGACTGTTGGCAAAGTATACAGAGACTGAAATCATACCAAAGGTGTCCTCCGCATCATCAAGCCAGGACAGATTAAGGACATACTGATTAACAAGGACGACTTAACCCTCAATGAGCTCAGGAGTTTTGTGCGGTCACACATGAGTGAAAACAGTGGAAGTGAGTTATTTCAGAAGTTAATGAGCACAAAACAACATGAACAGGAGAGTCCCCAACAGTTTCTATATAGGGTGATAGGATTGAAACAGAAAGTCATGTTTGCTTCCAGACAAGATAACATCGACATTGAGTATGAGTCCCGCACAGTTCAGAATGTGTTTATGTACTATTCATCAAGGTCTCCTCCCCAAGTACAGTGACATTCGTAATTAACTCAAGCCTCACCTTTCTGACTGTGCTGTATCAGATGAAGCACTAATACGACAGGTGAATAAAGTATCCAGTGAAGAGAGTGAGCGACAGCGACGACTGGGGTATAATCCTCGCCAAAAGGTAACACATGCTCACACTGCTCAACTCGAGACGGATCAAGACACTGAAAAGACAACAAACTCGAAAACAAAGACTAAAAATAAGATGATAGAAGAACTAAGTTCAAATGTTGATGCTCTGACTAAAGTAGTTCTCACAGCCAAAAGGACGGCAGAACAATCCTGTCGGTGTGCCCACACTCAACCAAAGCCCAGACCGACAATATGGTTGTCCTAGTTGTGTTGAAAAGGTTACAGACTCATAACCCGAGAAGTGGAAACAGAAAGAGTACCATACCTTCCTGTGAACCGACCTGTGTTTCCCAGTCAGATCAGGCAGAGAACACCTGTGAAATCAACAAGAGTAGAAAGAGAACAAGAGCGATGTGGTGCACAAAACATTGAACCTAACAGTAATGTTGAAGAGGAGGAAGATGTAAGTGATGCAGATTCTGGCGTAGTTCAGGCATCTGGTACAGGAAGTGAAAGTGAGACCATGCAGCCTGTACCAGAGGAGATCAGTGCTGGACATGGCCTGACCCCCCAACTAACAAGTAACTCATCTGGAGGCTATTATAACTGCACAAGGTAAGTCTTTGAGTTTTTACGTATTAATGGAAATTTAAATGAATGTAACAACCAACCAATTTGTTAGTGTAATTACCTATCGTCATCTTATAATTTAGTTGCAACGTATTTACATTAAAAAAGCAACTGTATTTTTTAAACATTTTTCCATTTCCATTTAAGATCTTAAATAGGGTAAAATAATTATTTAGACTACAATTGACTTGATTACTGTAAAGTTTTAAGCGAAAAAGAAAATCTTTGGGATTTGTTTACACGCCAAATCCAATATGGCGGTGACGTTGATGACGTACAAACCCCTAAAGCCATACGTACGGTGTGTGTTCGTGCCTGCTTCTATTACCTTGGTGGGAGTTTTGCTGCTTATATGGACTAGAGCCCTATCTTTTGTGATTTGGAGTTGAATCGATAACTTAGTGGTGTATGTATTTAGTAGTTCTGAGTGTTGTGTGTGTAAACTAGTCGATGTCTAAGCAGAGACCTGACAAGAATAGCGGCGCAATTCTGTTTCATAGCGTGTGTGTTGTCAGCTGACGGCCGCCGTCACAACACGGTGTGTGTATGTTTCTGCTGACTGTCTGACAGTGAACCCCGGCTTGAGCAACCGTAGCTCTGCTATCCTTAGCCTTCAGAACGAGCAAAAGTGGGTTATGCTCCCCGGAGTTGAGCTCGTTCACGGAGGTTTGTGCAGAACCGACACATGGCGGCAGAAATCCAGCCCCAGCCGCAGGCTCGGAAGCCATGTCTACTGAGCAAAATCGAAGCTTTCCAGGAGGTTGTGAGCACGGCGATGATCATCCCCAAGGAAGACGGCGTTATCAGTTTGTCTGAGGACAGGTACAGCCTTAAAATTCCAATTGTGTCCAGCGATTTTAACCGACCTCTGAATGACTGGGGTGTATGTAAAGCTTGTCAGGTATCAGTTTAGAGCCGTCTGAGCACATTGCACGTTACATCTACCTTCATTCTATTATATTTATCGTAGATAGTGTAATTGAACATAGGTTTCTTTCAATTATACGTTTTTTCCTCGCCGTGATGTTTTCAGCACGTTCTGCTGTTGCTCTGAACCAATATTGAGTTTTTAAGCCTTAGGGCAACTCTTTTTCTATGGTCTTATTCTTCTAGTTTTTCCACATACCAGTTTCTCTCTGTTTGTCTATGTCTTTCTCTCTGTTACTTTAACACGATGACATTTTTATAGTTTTGAACAAAGGTACATTTGCAGTCGTGTCGACGTCTGGTTTGACCATGTCCAAATATAGAAGATGTGTAATTTTTTTTTAACACCGAGTATGTAGTTTCAACGTCTCCTCTGCAATTGGAAGCATAACTAAAATCTCAAATGCACTGTTTCATAGTAAATTTGTCCTGCACAAAATGTCCTAACCTATGTTTTCACATAGCTGCAACATTTGCTGCAACAGTCACTTTTAACTCAGTGGTTAACTGGTGCAGCTAATCCAAGCAAAAAAGTTAATGTTTATGTTACAAGGTTTCTAGTCACAGCTATCACTGATATACACTGGCTTCTGCTGTTCGGAATATTTTTCAAAAGTATATATTTTAATAGAACTTTAGTGTTACCATCCATCCATTGATACTAGCATACACATACATACATATAAGTATAATTATGCGGTGCTTTTAATTGTGAGTTCTACCATAGTCACAGGAAGTAGACATTTAAAGTGCAAATATGCGAATGTCATGTTCCTCATTTACAGAAACCTTTTTTTTCTGAGAAACTGTGAAATCTCACTGTTGTTATCTCAAACTTGTCTTCAATCCACAGGGCGATTCGAGTATGGCTGAAGAGAGACAGTGGCCAGTACTGGCCCAGTGTCCATCACACAATGCCATGTAAGTTCCTGTGCTTACTTTCTGTGTTTGATCACTGCGTTCAGCTCTGAGGGCAGAGACACTGTAAATACAGTGAACAAGTCATGAAAAAATGTGCGCAAGAAATTATTTTTTCCAAACACGCAAATCAAGGAACCAACCCTTTTTGTGAATTCCTGTTTTTTCACTGCACGTCCATTTATTACTTCCTGTTCATTGTAACCTCCCCTCCCCCTAAAAAACCCATCACACACCCTTTATTAATCTTTATAGAGTTAATGTATTAGAAAAGGCACAGGGTTTTCATGGACTCTGTGTGTAATTAAGCTCCTGCAGGATCATTCACTGTGTTCTCTTCAGCACTGCAGTGCTACAAGTCTGTGACACTATCTGTCCTTGTTTTTCACCATTTGTGCAACTGAAGGAAATCCTCTGCTCACATCAGCAAGATGTGGAGCTTACAATAGGAGTAGCACAAGGAGAGGCTGCAAGAGTCTCATAAAAATATGTGAAGCATTTAAGATAATGTACTTCAGGTATTTACAGGCACCTTTGTTTTTAGGGTTTTTTTCTCACGTTAATGACATGACAGAATAAATATTGTATGTGGAAGACTTCTGATGTCAGTTTCCCATGCTGAAGTTTCCAATTTTAAAAAAATCTTTAAATTTTAAGAGATGCAGAGATAAAAAGAGTAGGGATTTTACAGAGACATTGTCCTCTCGTTTTTGTTGCACACTAAAACTCCCACCCACTAGTATCCAGAATGGTTTAATGGTCAACATAAAATATCTATAAAGTATTTTGTTCCCCCAGAATTATTGTAAATCATACGTCTGTGGTTGTACTACAGAATGGAAGTAAAGCCTCACAGCTATTTGGTCACACACTAAAGATCTCTAAAAGAATGATAATGTATAGCTGCTTTTTGTGTAAGCAGAAACAAATAAGCATTTTGCTCCTATAAAAAATTACAGGTATATATATATATATATCAATGCTGCTCTATTTTCACCCACCCTGTAAATTATGACAAATGGGGTTTGTTCTTTATTTTATTAAGCGATAGTGGTATTAAATTATTTGGATTATTGGAGGTTAAACAGATTCATCGTACTGCCACACATTTACTTTTCTGCTGACCAAACACTGCTGCTCCCTCTCATCTGCTATTTCCTCCTTCTGTCATCTTTACCTGCACTGACTTTTTCAAGCACTGACACTAAAATTCACCCGTAAGATTTTGGAAACTGCAGAAGTGTTTGTGCAGTTTATTAATTCTAAAGTTAGTACATGGGCTGCATGGTTTAATGTCCTCAACCCATTGTTTTACGCCATACATTGGATTGTGCTGCACAAGTCGTAGGCATATCAGAGTTTGAGAACCCTTCCCAAAATCTGAGATGAAACTGTAGTGACTCTCAGTATACCATATGATTGCAAGATGTGTGAAAAGTAGAAAATTACACATTATTTAAATACAAACATCACATTAATCATGTCTGTTTTGTGTCTTTAGCTTCATGCTCCTGTATGTCCTTTAACCCGGAGACCAGGAGACTTTCAGTGGGGATGGACACTGGAGTTATTTGTGTAAGATCCTCATCATCTCCTTCCTCTTTGTTTTTCTTCCTTTTCTTCTCTCTACTCATCTGAGAGCCATTTGCTTTTAGGGAAACAGTAGATGACTCCCGATGATTGAATCATGATAAGAAAAACTGTTTTCATTGTTTGTTTTTTCTGATAATGGTGATTGTTATTATAGACTGTATGTTTCTGAGCTTAAACATTGGTGACAGGAAATCTTTTGGTTGTGATTTTGTATTAATTCAGTGAAACACTTCCTCTGTAAAAACCTTTTATTTATAGCTGCTGGCATTAGAGGAAGCTCTACTGTCACCCTTCTAGTGTTTTTCAGCCTTTGTGAAGATCTTAAAACACATGTCAGACTTTGGAGCCTGTACAAACCTCTTAGACATTTTGAACAAATGAATAATTTGAACTTGCTGGTATGATAAATATGATAATTCATGTTTTATTATCTATTTATACAAAAATAAAAACACACTAACATTAGTCTTGACCTTTGACATTTACTTCTGTTTCCTGTGTTTCAGGAGTTCATCCTGTCCGAGGACTACAACAAGATTACCCCAGCATGCACCTACCAGGGTGAGAGGAAGTGTTGGTCTGTGTGGGGGCATGTGCATGAATGTTAACCACAGGCAGTTTGTTTAAAAGTGTAGTGAGTTGCTATCACTGCACTTAACGGAGAAAAAAACAACTACATCAGCTGCTGTTTGTAATATGTTCATGCATATATTTAAAATTTAAAAGCAAAAGTAGGAGGTTACCAGGGTTAGCTAATGACGTGGCGTTCAAGGTAACGTTAGGGACACAAAAACAAATTGGAAATGAAAGAGTTGATATTTTACACCATTTTACAAGGGTGTTGATAATGAGGCTTTCTGGCTTTACCATAAATTAAACCTGGAAGTGATGCCTTTTTAAACAATAAATTCATGCTATAATTTGTTCTGTGAACCTCACCCCACACTCCAGTTTGAACCTTTATACCCAAAAGCATTCAGTCCTATTTTCTTTATAGTCAATCATCATCTAAAACCAGGATGATATGTATTTATTATTATGCAGTCCAATATCATCTGTGCGGTTTCTGGGCTGTTTTTGGCTTTAAAGTCTGTTCAGTTATGTGTGTTTCAAACTCTCAGTAGCTAGTAGTAGGAGTGTTTACAGTCTGAAAGTGTACACAAGTCATTTCTTCCTTTGAATTCAGTATGAGTGGAAAGAGGAATGGCTGCTACCTTATAATAACTTAAAGTCCAATATGTGGCCTCTTCAATGTGAATTGTAAGCCTCAAAAATTAAACTGCTTTTTGTACAGAATTCAGTAGTAGCCTTAACTTACAGTTTACTTAGATATCCATCCTATGTAATTCCATCTCCCCGCGGCGTGCACGGACAGTTATGGAGTTTGTGTTTTTTGCAGCTCATCAGGGCAAAGTGACAGTGGTGCTGTTTGTATTGGAGATGGAGTGGCTCCTCAGTACTGGGCAGGACAAAAACTTCACCTGGCACTGCTCAGAGAGTGGTCAGCAACTTGGAACGTACCGCACCACTGCCTGGGTCTCCGGTCTACAGTATCCTTCGCTGTCCTTGTTGTGTAATTTTTTTTTATTATTATTATGTTTTTTTTAAAAAAAATTTTTTTTTTATTATGTTTGTTTGCAGACATTTTGACCTTTGCAGTGCTCGGTAACCTCATAGATAAACTGAAAATAAACCGAACAAGGTGTCAAGTGTCAAATGATCTTTGTGCCTGAAACTATTATATTGTTCCTTTATTTTGACAACACAGAACAACACAGGCCTTCTAAAGCCGTATGAATATAAAAAGGTACAATCGAGATTAGATTCCAATTTGTCTGTTCTGTTGGGAAAAGGCTAACAATAGGCATCAGTCATGCTGTTGTCAAGGAAACGGTTTGAGTTGTTTTCTGTAATGGCCAGATAAAAGAGTGTGAGTGCATGGCATCGACACCGATCCATACCAATGAGGCTGCCCTTAGGTCATCACGCTACCGGTTTACTGCATCTCAGACCTAATGTGCAAGCTTGAGCAAGGAGAAACATGTTTTTTAAAATATATCTAACAAACAGAAAATTATTTTAAAGTAGTTTTTTAAAAATATGTCTTTTTTTTAATAAAAGAGAATAAAATACATTACATTTATTCACAGATAAGTCAGGCTTTGGTTTTGCTGAACAGGAGCACTAGTTTCGTCCCTCTATACAATAATAGTAACCAATGAAATGTAGAAATTACGCTGACTTTACTTAAATAATGGCAGTACAGTAGATCTGTAAAAGCTTTTTAGTATTAGTGGGTAACATAGAGCTCATCTGTTGTGATGTAACAGATTAAATGCTTTGCATTTTTGTTTATGTTGTAGATTTTAATTCAAAGTGTGTTGTACATTATGCTTTGTGAGTGTAATGTTTTTGGCCAGACACTGACACTGTTTAGATTTGGAGCATGCTAAGAATGCTAGCTGTCCTACACTAACTGCTTCTGCTTCTTGTGGGAGACAGGTCTTTGTGGCATATGAGCAGTTCACCTTTTCACTACAAAGACACAATGGATATCTACAGGGGGGTATCAGCTCTTGTCCATATATTATACGTGTCTTAGTTTGACTTTGAGAAATATCCATCAGTTAGGCTAACGTGAATAATTACAAATCCATGTTTGGTCTGGTTTATATATATTAAAATGTGTGTGTTTTACAAAATGGTATGGTGACAGTTCAATATTTGTTTACAAGTTTACTTTTATGAAGGCAAGTTCTTCATAATACTGGTGGAAAATAATGCAAGTCATAGAAAACAGCTCTGAAGTTCAATATCAGAGCAGTTTCTGTCTGCTTGGGCAAAGGTTGGTTTTTGCATGTCATATTTGCACAGCCATTTACAAAGAGGTAAAAGGAAAAAAAACAATTGCTCTGGATGAGACTATAACAGCCAACAATGTTTAACTGACCCACACTTTTATTCTCTGTTTAGCTTTAACTTGGTTTGGGCAAAATCTCTTTACTCTTGCCTTTTTAAAGAAAAAAGTCACTATCTGTTTTTCTATAAGTGATTTCACTTGTATTATAATATTGTGTAGCCAATATTCTTTTTTTTCTATGCAATTTCCGCTCACTATAATGAATACACAATGTCAGAAGAGAAGTGTGAATGGCCAGGAAGAGAACAAGAAACCTTTCAAGACTGCTCTGAAATTCTCTTACTGCAACCTTTTACTACAAAGAGCTTTTGATGCACGGCCTTTCATAAATACTAGTAGATATTGGTGTTGTTAAAACCAGATAAGTGAAATTCTTTAACCATGACTTCAAACAAGATTTGATGTGGAGACCAGACACGCCTTTGTAGGAGATCAGTCTGGTCAGGTGACCATCCTGAAGCTGGAGCAGGACAGCTGTGGCCTTGTCACCACCTTTAAGGGACACACTGGTACAATACTCTCTCACACAATAAGTGACTATTCTTAAAAAAATGTTCTGGGATGTTTATGGGCCAAAACAAGAAACAAACGTCTATCAACATTTGTCATCATTTACGTGACAGTATTTCCTGATATTGTCTGACTCAGTAGTTAAAGCAACTGCACATTTAAATCATATGACTAATGACTTTAACACTGGATAAGATTAAATTAAATTAGATTAGATAATCTTCAGATTCTTTTCATGTTTTTTTACTGAGCAACCTGAATCCCTGAAGGTTAGAATATATATTAGAAATGTCTTTTGTTACTAGAAATCCAACAGTGGGGGGTTTAACAGTTAAAACGACAGTTTGGACCTAGTTGTATTCACTGTTGTTGACCATTTATTTTTCTAAGCAGTGAAAGTTCCATTAAATAGAATCTCAAAAGAAATGTCAGATTTTTCAACTTTACTTTTTGCCTATAGCCTACTCTTTTTTTAGACGATGCTTACTCACTCGCTTCACTTGTCGTGTATCAATTAAGGTCTTTGTTTGCTGTAGGTAATGTAACAGCACTGTGCTGGGACCCAGTCCAGAGGGTGCTGTTCTCTGGCAGCTCAGACCACTCCATCATCATGTGGGACATTGGAGGGCGCAAAGGCACAGCTATCGAGCTGCAAGGACACAAGTAGGAAGTGTCCAACATTTCTCTTCTATCCTAGTCCTGTGTCCTTTTGTATAATCAACATTACCATTAATCTGATGTGGTATAGGTAGAAGTACTTCTAAATGGAGAGCTTATATTACAGTACCTCCTCCCTCACTTGGAGCGTTTGAATGCTATGGTGCTGTGTGCTCTTTGGTCTTTGTCTTTGAGCTAAGACAAAAAAATAAACTGGGGCAAAATTCGTTTTTAAAACCAGTAAAATTCAATTTAATATAAGCAGTGTACCTCATGACAAATAACTTTGAACTAACCGGTATTCACATAACTGAAAACCTCGTTTAACCTTTGTTGCTCATTTAAATTCTTTTATGATTTTGGTACTGCAATGTGTTGACATGTTTATTAATGAAAATACTGTATCTGTATATTCTAAATTAGATTAGATTGGATTACATTACATTAAATTAGATATTTATTGTCCATCCAGGGTGGATCGCCTTTGGCTCACCAGGCAGAAAACAAAACAACATTAACAACGCTTATAAATAATAAATTATGGATAAATTTTAAAACCACCACTCATTTTAAAATGATTTAAAAACACAGTGGATTATATGAAAGACTTGATGATGATGCCATCTCTGTGGTGTATTTTTTTTAAAGCTTCTTATTTGTTTATTTGTTGTGACTTGTGCATTATTCTTACAGTGACAAGGTGCAGGGCCTGTGTTACGCCTCACACACTCGTCAGCTCATCTCCTGCAGCTCAGATGGAGGAATCGTCATCTGGAACATGGACGTAAAACGACAAGAGGTGCAAGAGAACAAATACTCACTAGTGTGAATGTAATCTGTAAATGTTGATGGAACCAAAATGAAAGAAAAAAACTATGAAAAAAAGGGATTTTTTTAAAATTCTGGTGCAATGGTTCTGGTCAAGAGCAATAAAGCAGGTGTTTTAATGTGAAAATGTGGCAAGTCTTAAAAGGCAGTCTGATACTTGAGATTGGTTTTGGGATATAACTGAGATTGCATTTCAAGCCAATACATGCTTTCTTCACGTGCAGGATTTTTGTATCTGGTACTTGTTTTGACTTCTGCCCTGAAGAATTGCACAGAAGATGATCACTGTGATATCCAGTTACTCAGGAGTCTGTGTAATCTCACCTCTGTATCCTCCCCTCTGTGTTCTGCCAAAGTGAGTTAGGACCAGACTTCTTCCGTATTTACCCTGAGTCACTTTGACTCTTCCTCTGCGTCATTCTCTCGAGCTTCTGTCTCCAGTGTTTGACTCAGAGCTGGTTCTGAGGTTTTATTTTCTCACTCATTTGTTGTTTCGAAGCTCAGATCCCAAAAGGTGAACATTAAGTGAAATTCTCAGGGTGCTGTTTTTATTAACTCATAGCCCAAAGGTGTTGCAGTTTAAGGATAGTATTTATAAAATTCCTTGTTGTGTGTAGAGTTACAGGGTGGTTTCTAGTGTTTATTTGTTTTTTTTATTTCCTGCAGTATCAGAAACTTGAATTTATAAAGTGCAGTGAAATCCGAGGCAGCGCAGACTTCTCAGGATGACCCATATCCTGTTTCCTAACAGCCAGGAAGACTGGGGCTTTGTCACAGCTCATTAACCTCAGTTACTCCCTTCTACAGTGTGTGCTGTTGGGGGCATCTAATGCAAAGTTATTAAAAGAGTGTGTTTTAGGATGATATGTATCCCCGAGCTGCAGGTCCCTGTGGTCTGCATGGAAGTGGTCTGTATCTTGGTTATCTGGGTACAAAGATGGGCATGGATTTATAAGGAGTGACATACAGTATTTCTACATGCAGGCAATGACCAATTCCAACACAAAATAATAATAATAATGATCTATGCCACACTCAGTCACCTACAGTGATGCAACGTAAAGAATGCACACCTGATATTCAGGTGAAGAAGGCAATTGTACTTGGTTGTTTTGCTGTGAGCATTTCTGACTTCTGACCTCTGACCTTTGCACTATTTACATATTATACAGGTCCATTTAATATATCAATATTTTTACATTCGGCACAGTCATGTTCATTTAGTCCATTCTCAAACATCAAATACCATCTTGCAGGGAGCTGATGAGCCAAAGAGGCTAATAAACTCCAACTGAATAACTTTGTTCTCCTGCAGACCCCAGAGTGGCTGGACAGTGACTCCTGTCAGAAGTGTGAGCAGCCATTCTTCTGGAACTTCAAACAAATGTGGGATAGTAAGAAGATTGGCCTGCGACAGGTAGGGAGGTAGAATGTGTGTAAGAAGTTCCTGATTTGAAACTTTGATTAACTCCCGTTGAAAACATTTTTTCGCCCTACAACAAAGCTATCAGACAGTCAAGCTGTCAGTTCTATACATTACCCACTTATATGGACTATCAACTGCTGTACTGTATTGTCTATCCTTAAGGTTGATTGAGCTTTAATGGGTGGAACAAACTCTTCTTTAACAAATCTAGAATCTGTCCATTCAATATTTATCTTGTTGATGCCACTCTGTAACAACATGACACAAATCAGTTCAATTTAGTCTATATAAAAAAACCCGAACAGATCCACTTTAGATGTGAGCTAAAACAAACACCACCATAAAAGCAGAGGAAATATCACTGGCTGTTTAATTACCTCAGTTGTTACCTTGTGGTTATTGTGCTACTAAAAGTTCACTGAATCAGTGGCAGATTTTCCACTGTGCAGCGGTTCTAGGAACTTTCTGTAGGAGGAACCAAATGACACAGTAAGATATTTTTGTTTTTAATGATGGAATTCTCTTTAACAAACAAACAGCAGGCCAAAAGTCCAATGTCAACAAAGTCTGAACTTTCCAGAGCTTTATTGACTTTGAATCATTGATTTAATCACATGTTGACCTTTTGAGTTTTACTCAAACTGATGGTCACAGTTAAGTGTTAACTTACATATTTGTTTGGAAAAACAAGTGTGTAGTCATTTTTTTCCCATACAACTTTAAATATTTGCGAGTATAGAATTATAGTCTGTGGGTGCTGCGTTCTCTCCGTGTTCTCCAGCACCACTGTAGGAAGTGTGGCCAGGCTGTGTGTGGCAAGTGCTCGTCCAAACGCTCCACCATCCCCCTCATGGGCTTCGAGTTCGAGGTGCGCGTGTGTGACAGCTGCCACGAGTCCATCACCGACGAGGAGTGAGTAACAAAGCTGCTCTGTTGTCTGTCACATACTCCACCTCTGTGCTGCTGACACCGCCACTCGCTGTGAAATAACCAACCTCGTCTCCTTCTGTGTCATGTTCCAGCCGAGCACCCACCGCCACCTTTCACGACAGCAAGCACAACATTGTTTACATGCACTACGAGCCCACCACTGGAAACCTGCTCACCTCTGGCTCAGACAAGGTCATCAAGGTCAGAGAGCAAATGCTTGTATTTCCACTGAAAGCAGATAGAAACAGATGTGGGATCAGAGTTTACCAAGGGTTTGAATTGACTCCTATTTATAATATAATTACAGATCTTTCAATCTTATTTTGTGAGTTTGTTACTAGTTACAAATTAAAATGTTGCAACTTTTTAAAAAATGCTGCTCAAATGTCTTATTGATTGGTAGAGATGTGTGTAAATAAACTCCATCGCCATAGTTTCTGTGTGATCTGCTTGTCCACAGCTGTGGGACATGACGCCTGTGGTGTCCTGAGGTCTGTGGACGCACATCGGTCAGGACTGACTTCTGTTCACCAAACAATCACAGTTGAACAGCAGCAACCACATCTGAGAGAAGGTCATTCTTCACTTTGTGAATTACATTTCAATTATTTGATAACAAGCAGTGGCTGCTGCAGTGAAGACTACAGAGACCAGTGTATCCTGGGAAACAGGCCTGGGTGGGAACCGAGGTCAAAGACTGCTGCGGATGTTTGTTTAGTGTGAACGCTGCTACGTGTGTGTGTGTGTGTGACAGTGAGATGTTTGACTTTTGTGAGAAACTGACTCACAGTGTTTGCTCACTTTCTCTGCATTCCTGTCCACTTATCAGTGTGGAACATTTTTTTGAGGATGTGTAGTTGTTCACAACATGAGTGACTGACACCATGATCTTCATCACCAAGGTTCAGATGTGAAAGATTATATCATTCATCCATCTCTATCATTCACAGCAGTTTTTCAACTACAAAGAAAAAATGTTTAAACCTGTTTAAAAAGCTGCGTTTGTTGTTGTTGATGCAAATGTTTTTGTCCCTAGTGTTTGTAACTCTGTTGATACAGCTGTAAGTTATTAAGGCAAAGTGAAGACAGTTCATCGTGAGATCACCCTACATATCCACTGCATGACTTATTTTCACTGCACTAAAAGGGTTAAACATCAACTCCTATTTATAATATCTTACAATATAAAAACGCCTAGAGAATTCTAGAGAACCAGGCACAAAGTAGACACATCTCAACAAGAAGTCCTGGTTTGTGACCACTACAATATCTTTTGCAGTTTGAGGAGAAGGTGAATGTTTACGTTAACTGTTGGTACAACTGTAAATCTAAGTGCTTGTTTTTTGTCCTTGTTTAAGTTTTAACTTGAATTTTTGAGCTTTACTGCAACCAAATATCCAATAACACTGGACAAAATGCAAAAATGTTTTTTAGGCCTAGTGTGATGTCTAGTATCAAATATACTGGTACTCTCTTCTTGGAATACACCCCTCCATTTGAGTAGAAAATACTTTTAATTCCGCTGAAAAGCATGAAACGCTTTAGCTGTCTCCTGCAAATTGCTTACTGTCCTCAGCTGTAGACCTTGTGGTCTGTAGATGGTGCTGATGAGCAGATCAGCAGCAAGTGCATGATGGGATTGCTTGCCGCGGGGATCAGTTCAGCTGTAACGCAAACATTTAAAAAAGGATGTCATTTCGCTTTTTTATAACTCAAGTCAAGACACTGGAATAAATGAGTCGGACGAGGAACGTGTACTTCAAACCGATGCTGTGAATATAATTGTTATTATCATAGAATTTGTGTTACAACTATCAAATTTACTTAAGTTTATTTTATTGAAACAGTTGATAATTCAAATATGTTAAGTTTAGTTGTAACATTTAAAGAAACTCAAAGAGGTACGTGATTCTAAAATGTTTAAGCAAAACCTGAACTTTAATCGGTTTACTTTTGTTACCGATTTTAGGTCCACTTACAAACAAGCTACTGGTTTCAAATATGGCCGCCTGAAGTATTCTCATACAAACCTCAACGTAATACTGGTGAACCGTCTGAAAGGCGCGCCAGTTATCCTCAGTATGTGACTAAAGATTAATAAATTAATACAGATTTAAGTCTGAAAACAAGAGGCCAGTATTGAACGTGTTTGTGAACGTGTTTGTAACAGTTGTTGTTTATTAAAGCAGCAGGTATTTGACCGTGTGTCGAGTCTTTATATACTTTGGTGTTTTGGTTTCATGGGTGTTTGCTCGTGAAATCTAATTTCAGTCAAAAATTTTCAAGCAAGCCTAAAATAATATACTATACTAATCATACTAATTGTTTAAAGTCTTAAAATAGTTTTCCAAAAATGAATTATACATTAAAAAAAGCCTTCAAATATATGGTTATGTGCCTTTTATGCTGAAATAAAAGAATGAATAAACAATTTTGGTACATTTATTATAATGAATATATTTAACATAAATCTACACTTAGTGTTAAACATTTGACTATCGTCATAACGTCAACTACAGTTTCATCTTCAAAGTTGCAAAAAAGAGTGGTTAGTTAAAAACTATCTAAACGTGTACACACTGGATCTGTTCAAATAGTCCTGTAAACATCAGTAGTATTATTCTTAGTTCATCAGGGCGGGTTTGCAGCATCTGCAGATGTGTTAAGGTTTAAATTTAAGGGCCAGCTCCTCCAGCACAGCCAAAAGTCTCTCCTCCTCCTGAGGAGTTGACCTGCTGGAGGCCAGAGGCAGGTGAGTCGACACTGCCTGACGATCTGGAGAAAAAAAACCAGAATAAATCACTGATTTTCTCCACTCAAATCCAATTTCTACCTTTGCTGTTTTGATGGAAGTTAAAATATAATGATGTGAAATAAAGTCACAAAAAGACTGAATATATTTGTCTCTGACCCTGGAAGAAAAGTCCACTCTTCTGCTTGACAGCAGAGGGAGACACAGCCAGCCAGACAGCAGTGTCTGCTCCCATGGCCTCTGTCCTCAGCCTGTTCTTCATCTTAGCATGGAAGGATGGCATGGACAACTGGACGGCTGCAGAGAGAGACAAGGTTTCCTAAATGACAGGAACTGTTATGACACAAAAGGAGGCAGAATTGTTTTTCCAATCGAACGTAACGTTACTCCTGAATCTACAGCAAAGAGCAGAAACCATCAAGGACTGTTCTCTAGTTTACCAGGTGTGTCGGCCCAGCCGGGGTGCATGGAGGAGAATTGGATCTCTTTGTGTTGTGAAGCCCATCTCTGTGTTAGGATCACCTGCTGTCTCTGTCACAAGAAGTAAAGAAACAATAAGAAACAATCACCAGGAGATAAATGTTTTCTACTAAACTACTAACATTTGTGGTGTTTTTTTTTTGTTGTTGTTTTTTTTTTGCAGCACAATTTAATCAGCGGTTGTTGAAAGAACTTCAAGTAAAAGACTTTATCTAGCTTTATCTAGGCTTTTAACAATTCCTGTAGAATTTTACTTTTTATTTAGACTTTCACAACTACACTATATCTTCTTTGTTTCCTTTTGGCTTGTCCCTTTATCAGCAACAACTACACAATATACAACTTTGAATTTGGTTAGTTTAGTTTATATGCTGGACACATTAATTCAGTTATAAACATTTTTTTAACTTATTGTGTTATTGTGTTTTTGCTACTTTCTGTTTACTACCACTATTACTACTTTTTTGGTATAATTTAGACATCTATGTCTTCCTTTATTTTAACCTGCATCTTAATTTCATCCTATTTTGGCTTAGAAATATCCAGCTGTGATTCCTCACTGCAGTAAACCCTTTACTTTGTTCTGTGCATAGACCATGGTGCCGTCAAATGTCCCCTTCTCAAACTGGAGATCATCGACATTCAGCTTCTGCGTTAACATCCCTCCAGATGACACAGTGATCTATGAAGAGACGTGGAGTTAAAATGTACCTCTAAACACCGTCATCAACCACAACCACACAATCATATGACCTGAGAAAATTTAGAGTTGGTCCATTAGAAGAACAAACAGTTTTCATATGAATAAGGATTATTTTTCAACCTTTTCTGAATTCACCCACCACTCTTGGCTCTTCAACCTTCTTTAATGCGTCAACCAGTGCTGTGGTGAGAATGTATGTACCTGGAAATAAAAGTAAGAACATAGAACCGTGAAACTATGCTTTACTGTCTGCAAAGTATGGAAATCTCCACTGGTTATTTATGTAACCAAGTATAAAATAATGTAATAGATAATTATATGATTCTGTTGTAACAGTGTATCATTATACAGTATATATACACATATGCAGACAAAGATACAGAGTGATTTCTGTTCAACTAAATAACAGACTCTTTGATAGTAAATGTTAGCTAAAATAAATAACGTGAAATGAGACTGTAGTTAAAGGTTAGCTTAGTGAAAAAAGATGAAAGGTGTAATAAAGTTAGTGATTGTCTTAGTGAATATACACACACATTTGGTTGTTGTAGACGACAGTCTCTGCGAAGCGGATTTTGATTAATTTAAAACTCTAATCAAATGCAATTGAATTTTTTGTCAAAGTCAGAATGTTTTAAAAATGATCTTGAACTTTTTATTTTTTCATTACCAAGTGTATTTGTTGCAAAGTTCTTCTCTAGACCTTCCTCAGTGACCTCCCTCTGGTTCACCATGCAGCCCGCATTGTTGATCTGATGAAGACAAACATGTGATTAATTAAAATGTAAAGATAAAAAAGAAAATAAAAAACACAAAAAAGACCCTCACCAGAACATGGACTGTGTGGGTCTCAGTGAACTTCTGAACAAATTCCCAAACTTGTCTGGCACTTGACATGTCAACAATATGGACGTAAACATTCTGTGGAAAATAAAGTTAATAAATACAGTAAAATGAAATGTAAAGTGAATTAACAATAACTAGGCAATAGACTGGATAAGTTAATGTAATGTTTAATGTTTTTCGAATGTAACAAAATACAAGGGAACTAACATATAACGTAACATTACAAGGTTTTATGTTTAATTGTAAACATATAGCCGAAATAAGCAAAATCACATGCATGTTTAAGACGACTAAAGTCAAAGAAAACGTACTCATTAGACAACTTACCTCATTTTTACTCTGCTCTACAATTTCCTCTTTGGCTGCTTCTGCACGACCTTTATTTCGACAAACCATGTGGACGACGCCCCCTATACGAATCAAAAAACAAACAAACTGTAAATCTTCACACATTAGTTGCAATTTCAGCCATTCGAACTATGAGCTCCAAGAAGAGCTAAATAAACTCAACACTGACCTCTGTTGGCGATTTCCTGCGCCGTGGCTTTTCCAATCCCACTGTTTGCTCCTGTGATCATGAAGGACCTCCCACTCAGGTTCACTTCCAGGTCTCCTGGAGTGAAGTGCTTTGCTGCTGCTTCATAACCACTCCTGTCAGAAACAAAGGTTAAGTCATTCACTTGTGTCTTCACAGATATTAAAGACAGATTTCTCACTTACTTCACGGTGTTCTCCCTTAGTTTTGCAATATCATATCATTCTCAGTGTACTTCCTGACAAAACTTTTATTTATTTTGACCTGGGGTGCATTTTGACAACTGCCTATATCGTGAAAATTATTTTGACTAAGCTTCGTTGGTAAATTTTTGTCATTGTATTTTACAATTCAATTCAATAAAATAATACGAATATATACTACGTCTCTGCAGGGATTTATATATTTTTTCTATTCTATGAATACACATAACTACGTATATTATACTGTTTATCACTGTCATATATATGTCATATGTATTACTTGCTCTATTTAGGTAATACAACGATTTAGATCATGGTATTCGTGATTTAAAAAAATATTACCATGCAATATATAATAAACTACTTTTAACAAAAAGCCAATTCGTATAAAAGCCCTATAATATTAAGAGAAACACAACATTTCATTCGGCAATGACATACACACGTGAGGCTGCAGCTGCAGAGATTAACATTGTAGTTTAAATCTTTAACAACGACGGTACCGAAGAAGAGCGAAGGGTTTTCAAGCATAAACATAGAAGGACACTCGAAGCTCGACTTACTTCGTGTACTCCTGCAGTCCCTTCACAAACCACACAGCGTTCCTGTAAATTGACATTTTTATTCACATCTAAACGATTTTCTGTTTGGAGCTGCAGCAACTGCTTCCTTAGTAAAATAACCTCTGTAATGCTATTTCATAAGAATGTCTGAGGCTCGTTATGTAGTAACATGGGCGGGGAGTCACGTGGGCGACCACCGGAAATAAAGGAAGAAAACGGATGTCTTTATAACAACACCATTTAGGAACTATATCAAAAACATGGCAGACGTTTATATCACAATGCCAAAATATCACAAAAGAAACTCAAGAGCGACCTATATAATCATGCTAACATTATATACATGTTTTACGCCTCGGTTACACGCTTGTCAGGATGGCCGAGTGGTCTAAGGCGCCAGACTCAAGGTTTCACCCTTCCTGCAAACGGGACTTCTGGTCTCCGAATGGAGGCGTGGGTTCGAATCCCACTTCTGACAGAACAACTTTTGGTACCCAAACTGTTGAAACTAGCACGAATCGTTATCAAAATTAATTGTGTAACTACTTCACGTAGTTCTACGTTGCCAGTATCCTGAAATACGTAATACGTTCTTTCTTCAAATAACTGCAACACCAGTACCTCCTGCTGGTCATAAATATGACCAGTAAAACGTTAACAGCATTGTGAGTCTCGGCGGTCTCCTATTCAAGTACTAAGCAGGCCTAACTTTGTCTATCGGAGATCAGATACGATCACGCGTGTCCAGCATGATACGGCCGTGGGCCTCGGCCACTGCCGACGGAAGAAAACTAAACAAACTATAATCGAAATTGAAATTCAGTTGTCGTGTTGTTATTATTAACACTGTCGTTTTTCTGACTTTTTATTCAGTATTTTGTTAGCTGTTTGATAACTACTCAAAAGTTGACAGCATAGGTCCTAAACTCCCCTCAGTGAATTGTATATATAAATATATGGCATGATATATGACCTAACTTGTTTGGTTATTGAACCAGGTCAATGTAAAAAAAACAACTTTAAAGGCTGCAGTCGTCTTTGATTACTAATCAAACCATCTGTGTCAATGGTTTGATCGCCCTTGTCAGGATGGCCGAGCGGTCTAAGGCGCCAGACTCAAGGTTTCACCCTTCCTGTAAACGGGATTTCTGGTCTCCGAATGGAGGCGTGGGTTCGAATCCCACTTCTGACAAGATATTTTTCATTTAGTTTTATTCCCCCTTTTACACTTTTACTTTTGTTTCGTGGTTTATAATACGTTTGTATTTAATGACAATTCACCGTAGAATATAGAATATAGGTGTCAATTTTAATATTTATATACCCAGTAATAATATATTACACTTCAATTTGTTTGTTATTATGCATATCGCTTATTATGTTGACCACTGGTTCTCAATTTCTTTCTTTTAAAGTACTTTTTAAAGTCCTGCCATTAGGATGTGAAAATTACTTGGTCCTAACTTCCCTTTTTTTCCAGACCTAACTTCACCCTTTAGCTTTTTTAGGCGACTGGTAACCTCTGAGTTATTGCTGCCAATCACTGTGCATAATTTAATCCAATGCGTGTATTTTAAATATATTTATTTTATTTTAATTCATTTTAATTGAAAAGATAATGCTTGGGTAGGTCAGAAGCGAGGGTGCTGGAATGCTTCTGACAGACCATAGGAGTTGAGGGTTACAGCTGCCAGCTAAACGGTTAGTAGCAGCCTTGTTCTTAGTGACCGCTCATTACTATTAATACCGCGGGCCATATAAAACAAACAAAACGTCTCGAATGACTCTAATGGCTTTCCGTACTCGGGTAAGTCATTTGATTAAGCAGCTCAATGGCACAGGTGTGCAGCGTCTTCATAGTCTTTGTTTGTCGGTGTTGTAGGCGCAGTGAGGCTGTGCAGACCATAGTGTTATCAATAACTTAGGGCTGATGGCTTGTGTTCTGGTCATAATTTGTTTAGCCTGGCTCGAAGCTGTAGAAAGCTACCGTTTCACCACTGGACTTGAGGCGAACCACAGTAAGTTTAATGGCGGCGCTGAAGAGTTTCTAGTTGTCCCAGAAGACCCGAGAGCCCCGCGAGATTCAACGCTGATCCAGAACTTACTGAAAGGTAAAATCCTGATTTTTTTTTTTTTTTGAAAAATATGTGAGCTGAAAAAACCGCATGTTAATTAACAATTGACTGATAAGTTTTCTGTTGTCATCGTATACTTTTAGGGTTTTTGTTTGTAGTTCTTAAAAATTAGAGTTAAGCTCTGAGGATTATTAAAAAAATATTTATTTGGTCTAAAAATAATTCTAATCGTATAATTCGTCCGAATTATAGTCGTTTCACATTTAGGTTGAACATTAGTGACAAAGCCTTGATTACAATCCTGGAAAAAAAAAACTTAAAAGTTGCCCTTTGCTCACCTTAGTGATGGGGGGGCAGGTGTTTTCAGCCATAAAAGATCTGCAATGAGGCAGTGGAAAACCACCATTGCAACCTCTGGGGACTCATCAAGACTGCAGCAAAGAGTAAGTTAAATGCAAATATGTTAAAGGATAGCCATTGTTGAAAGCTAATTGTAAAACTTCTGACTATAAACAGAAGTCTGTTGCTAGACAACTGAGCCTAAAGCTATCACCTTGTTGCCCAATAATGCAGGAGGAGACAAAAAGAGTTCGTAGTCACGAGACGTCATCAACAGCACCACAAACATTAGACGAGGAAGAGTATGAATTATTTGGACTTGAAGAAATCCCAGATGGTCCGTTGAATTGCATAGACTTAGAAACAGCAGCTCAACCAACAACATCCCCACAAGCGGAATCTATTTCTAATCCTGACACAAGTATAGTAGATGATGATGAGTTCTTTGAAGAGTTCCCTGAAGAGCCATTTAATGGGATAGACCTAGAAATCCCAGTTCAACCAACAACACCTCAAACAACATTTACCAGTAATCTAGATACGTGCAAAGAAGTGGAGTATGACCCTGATTTTTTTTATTTTTTTGGATTTGAAGAAATTCCTAAAAAGCCATATGAGGGAGTAGATATAGAAATACCAACAGGCATTAGTACTACATGTCCACTTGACTTAACTGTCCTTACAACCTCCAGCACTCCAGCTGCAGTGACAATAAGCACCACTACTGATGCCCCTGTTCAAAGCATTACCCAACTGCCTTTAAGAACAAACATTGCCACCACAACTACAGCCACTGAGACAATCAATGTCCCTGATGCCCATACAACTGCAGTGGCTAAAACAACTGCTGTCCCTGTTGCACCAACAGCTACAATGGCTGAAACACCAACTAATGTTGCTGTTCCCCCAACCTCTACGGCAGCAGCAACAACCACTCTCACCACGGCAGCCCTGAGGACGACCACTACCACAGCCTTTCAAACCATTCTGAGTGCTACCACTACCACTTCAACTGCTGGTTCGGCAACATCAACCACGGTGACCTTGACCACAGGTAATTTGAGCAGATCTAAACTGCTGTTTCTTTTGTAATTTTCAGACTTGGATTTAGGTGTTGCCTAGTTTTAGCTGTGGGGACACATTAATAACATTTTTAATGCTTATTAATCTCCTGAAGGGTTGGTTCTGATAATATTTCTGGGGCTTTGTCATCGGATATTAACAAAACCACAATCTCACTGAAAGTAAAACCAACAACAAAGAAAGATGCTACAATCCAAAAAGAGCCTAAGGACAAATACTGTCTTTGACCATTCTGTCAATCAATTCTGTCAAGTGTCCAGGTCTTAATTATTAAACTGTGATTACAACATTACAAATAAGTGGCATCTATTTGCTTGATTAAAACAACAAACAACCTAATACCTTTCAAAATCACTAGTTTGAAATATACAAACGTTGGAAGATTTTGTACAATCTTATTAATTAGTAGTAATTAGTAGTATTAGCCCTGTGTATTACCTGAAGACTGTAGTTCTGTAAATCATGTGAGGTAATACATGATTAAAAATTACAATTTCTACAGCTCCAAAAAAAGGGTGTGCCAGCAAAATACAAACAGAGGCTGCCTCCTGTAGAAAACACATTTCACGTTTATTTCTCAAATAAAACATTTTCACTGGTTAGAGATGTCAGTGGTTGGTCTAACGTAAAAACTTAAATTAAATAATGGGATGTACTTTTTAGCAGCAACCACTTGTATCTGAGGGCGCTGTCAATATGCCGGAAACTCAAGATACTGTGTGGTAAGTGGGCCTTAACTCAGAGTCTGGGAATGTCAGAATTTATTTGAAATAGCCATTGAATATTTTAGTGTTTTACATGGTTATATAATTGCCCAGCATCACATCATAAAGTATTTGTGATTGGAATAATTGTGCCACAATTGAAATAATTCACATCTACTCAGAGGAACTACTACACAACTACTCAGAGGATCTCCCAGAGGAAACACATGCTTGGTGCTTGATAGGGGCAGCCTATTAACAGCATATCTGCTGCTAACACAACAATTTCCCAAATATGGTATCAATATAGTACAAATTTGTTATTTTTTTAATTTAGAAATAAGAAACTAAAACTAAATTCAAATCAAGATCAAACTGTTTAGAAAAATGCATCCGTAAATAAAGAATAATTTTTTTTAAATTTGAAAGACAAGTGAAAGAATATTTGCAATTGTTTCTGCTGTTTCTGCTTTGTAAAAATAACCAATACTTTTTTTTTTAATGTACAGAGACACCTTGGCACTCAACCACAACAACTCCGGTAACAGTGACCCCTGGGGTCTCAACAACAACAGCTCCTATGACAGTAACCACTGGGGGCTCAACCACCACAACCTCTGTAACAGTGACCCCTCGGCTCTCAACCACAACAACTCCTGTAACAGTGACTCCTGGGGTCTCAACAACAACAGCTCCTATGACAGTAACCACTGGGGGCTCAACCACCACAACCTCTGTAACAGTGACCCCTCGGGCCTCAACCCCCACAGCCTCTGTAACAGTGACCCCTCGGCTCTCAACTACAACAACTCCTGTAACAGTGACTCCTGGGGTCTCAACAACAACAGCTCCTATGACAGTAACCACTGGGGGCTCAACCACCACAACCTCTGTAACAGTGACTACTCGGGCCTCAACCACAACAACTCCTGTAAGAATGACATCTACAATGCCTGAAGCGTTCATCAATGGCCGCTGGGCCTGGCAAAACCCTGCAGGTATCTGGGTGTACAGGTAATGTCTGCTGCACAAGATATCTCAATAAATGGAAAGGGTGATCTTCTCTATCTTGAATACCAGAGATGCTACAGCTAAAATCCTGACAACAGTGCATGATCCTTTTGTTTTGTTTTTAATTTTTTTAACCAAAAAATACTGCTTTCTTTATTGATACATGTTAACTCACTTCAACTTTTTGTTTTGCGTTCATAATCCACAATTTTGATCATACAGCTGTGGCTCTTGGCCAATTGCAACATTGAATTAGTGAAGACATTTTAAGACAAGTCTGCACATTGTTTGTGGTTTGAGCAAGTGCATTGTTTGCAGATTACGGTACATGCTTTTTATAACAATGTTGTCTCATTTTGGTTTCTTTACAGCAATGGGCAACCTGTGCAAAAAGGTGTTGGGAAGAACAATTAAAAAAACCCACAGGATGACATCAGGTCCGAGACTTATCTTAGGATCACAAGGTATTCTTGAAAGGAAATGAAATGAAATGAATTAATTAATTTTTCTGTTCTTGGGCAATTGGTTAATAATTCAAACACAGATTTTTTTTTCTTTAAATGTCAGCATTACCTACAGTATCAGCATGCTGATTTTGTGTTGTGACAAAAGAAGGGAGTATGTTGAAGAAGGGAAAAGATATTTAGCCAAAATTCTCCAGAGAATATATTTGCATACAAAACTTTAACACTAGATGGCAGTCTCACACTAAGACAACACTGGAATAAATGCTAGATGAAGCCCTGAGACCATGCAAGAACCATTTAAATGTCATCATTTAAAATGTTTTCCTTTCAAATTCAGGTTGTGGATTGCACAGTTAAAAGAATCCCTTTTTTTGTTTCAACATAGTTGTATATCACAGTGTCCCTGCTTTAGCCTCAGCCAGTGCTTGCAAGTTTGCTAAAATGAACAGCAGCATAAATATTACTTTTTAAGGTCCAACTAAAATAGCTTATGTTGCCTAAACAATGAGTGTAATGTGTAAATGTCTGCATATGTTTGTATTATATAAGAGTAATTAAATATATATACAGATATGCATGCTGTGTATATGTATATCTAGGCATACATAGTGTGTGTTTGTATATTTATATGATTATGTATACTGTATATATGCATATAAATGTATATGCATGTATATATATGCTTACATAGGTTTATATATGGTTGTAGGTGTGTGTGTCATCTTCATGTTTTTTTTGGCTTCGTTTTGTGCTTTATACTGTGGGACAGTCCGCAACGGGATGTCATTGTTTGACCTTGTCCAGTACATTTTATAACAAAAACTGAAAGCAATTATAGAAATGTCATTATAAATTAAATTTTCTGACCAGAACACATCTTTTGGCCCGTTCCCATGAGATTTGCTCTTTGAACAGAACATTCCCTGCTGCTCTTGAGCCCTCTCCAGAGGTCCAGCAGAGCCAGACAAACAAGCCCTGGTCCAGTTAATTTGTCTGGACAAATGTGGGGATTTGGGGCCACTGTGAGCGGCAAAGGACGAGTGCTAATTGTTTGTGTGCCAAGCAAACTCCCCTCTCGAACCCCCCAACCCATTTTTGCAAGTCATTGTATTCACCCCTGGTCTTTGTTTAGTAAATAACTTGAACCTGACACGTCTGGCCAGGGCCAAGTAGCATGAAGGTATTTTTTCAATTTACAGTATTTTTTAAAAGAATTAATCTACTCTCAAGGCCTTAATTCTTAAGAGACTAAGATGAGGTAGTCTGTGTGGCCAGTGAAGTTATGTGTTCTCTTAGTACCTCAGTCACATGGTAAACAATGAGCTAAAGCCACCTTACTTCAGTACAAGTGGCTGAGACGATCTGTGGAAGTGGTTGGAGCCTGGCGTCAACTTGGGCCCCTCTCCTTCACTGGACGGGCCAGGCCTCCTCTGAGCTCTGCTGGCATGCTGATCAGAGGATTAGTGTATAGGAGGCTGTGTCCACTCAAGAGCATGAGAGAGTTAAAAAAGTGAAAGGCATGTAGGGAGAAAGGTGAGGAAAGGTACATCGGGAGGACCACCCACTTTTCTGCAACTGACTCTAAAATAAGCAGAGACAAAATACGCCGGGATGTCTTTGAAATTCTCTTCCCTCTGACAAAAAATTTAATTTGGAAAATATAGTGGGGAAAATAGGCAGCTACAGCCTTAGTACTGTGCCGTATAGTACATAATGGTAAACATTTATATTGGAATTTATAGGAGAAATGGTTACTGGTCAGATGTGTGGTAGCTGTAACATTTTAGATAAATTCCTAGAGATGTTAAGTCAATGTCCTACCAAATTGGAATGGCAGAAATAGAGTTACATGTACATTTGTTTTATGTTCACTGTATTTATATTCCACCTTGCAGCAGCTTGTATGGATGTTTAATCTGCTTTTTCTAGATGTTTGCCAGATGATATAAAATAGTTGACTAATGTTAATTCAGAACTGGCCAAGCACTGCATTCAAATTGTGGCTGGAGATTAGTTCTTGTGGGGAAAAAAACACAGATTGGATAAATGTTAGCAGTAAAACTTGTGAAAACAGGTCAGAAATAGTGCAAAATGGAGAACAACTTGTCACATGTAAGTAAAAAAAAAAGCAAGATTCTTTAAACTCTGTGGGAATTTACCCTGAAGTAATGTTCAGTGCTCAGAAATTTGCAATACTGAAATAAGGAACACAGCAGTCAGTGCGGCGGCTGTTTCTATTTACAAGTCGGTGAAGCAAGCACGTGTGTAGCCTTAAGCTTTTGGTAGTCACAGATCCAACATGTGCGGCACAATATGAGTTTTAATTCAAACCAACAGCCTCTCTATTGGAAAGGAGCAATTAGCCCTTGGTAGGAGAGAGAGAAAGAGACAGGAGAAATGGAAGGGCATTGTTAAATTGACACATTAAATAGTGCCGGGTCATTAGCATGTGGTTGTGTAGAGTTTGGGGTTTATTCACTGGACCCTTGAATGCATATTGCTTCAGTAGCTCGGCTTTGGCCCTGCGCTCCCATTTTCTGGGTCTGTCCATCATCCCCACAGCACCTTTCACTCGTAATCCCCCTGTTTGGCCTCCTTTCTCTTTCAGTTTCCACAGCTTCTGTGTGACCTTCATCTTTTTATGCCGTCACACTGATTGGAAGCGACAGAACGATAGATAGAACTTTATTAATCCCTCAGGTGTTCCCTGAGAGACACAACTAAGTAAAATACAAGAAATATAACAAAATACAAAACGAGTAGCAGCACACCTGAACAGTGGATGTTGGTAGATTAGCAGGTTAGTAGTGGTAGATAGATAGGCTAGTGTTAGTAGTATCAGTAGACCAGTAGGTCATTTTGGTTGCTCTGTGTGGTGGTGTTGATTGCAATCTCAATTATTATTGAACAAATACATATACATATGTACACATATACTTATAATGTAAAATGGAAATATAATGGTTTATTGAATTACAGTGATAATAAAAATATAAGTCATATAAATGAGATTGTGGATTAATTGGACCCAGGGACAATTAAGTGGCATTAAATTGAACTCCAGCAGTAGAACCGGGCTTGAAGTTCCAGGATTAGATGTATGCTGATTAGACTGAGGTAAAGCGGTAGATGTTGCTCAGCAGTTTGAATCAGGCTCCTGCCAATGGCACATTAAAAGCTAATTTTTGTCAGGAATTATTCTATTGCTCTGTTGAAGACCTGACATAGGTTGTGTCGGCGCTGACGTTCACTCAGCTTCATCTCTTTTCTACACAGGCCTGGAAAAGAGCAGTGTACCAGGCCCAGTGTGGTGCCTTTCCCCCCATTGTGCAGTGATCACCTCATGCAAGCTTTGCCCTGTCACATTAGTGCATGTCAACACAGTGAGTGACACAAAAATCTCACACAGAGAAGAAATTGTTGCTTTAAACTTCTCTCAGTCAAAAGGAGAAACTCGATAATTTATTAATTTCTGCAGAAACACGTGCTTAATAATTTAGTCTTTTGTAATTTAGTCAAATGATTTAAAACACACTGCTTATTCAGATGTTGGATGTTGTGTGCAATAATATGCTTCTGCAAATAGCTTGTCCCCGTAAGTGTTATTTTTAAAAATTCAAATATTTTTTTACTTCTTTTGAAGGAATAATGTGATATTATATATTATCATGCAATACATATATAACAGTATATATTATATATAATTATACATTCTGGTTGCAAACCTGACAGCAGTATAATATCACACTATGTTGATTGCAAATTTTGGAATAGTAATATATGTCACAGTTATTTATGTGTAATGTGACATTAGAGTTTATCCATATGTGGGTCAAATGGTCACCGGGTCCAAGTCATCCATTGTCAACACCGACTTGGACCTGCTACAGTGGGTCTTTAACCCAGCTGCCTCCTGGAGGTCCTGGTGTTGTTTTGATTTATTGGGTTTCATGATTGTCTCCTTTGTGTCAAGTTTCCTGGGAAGATATTTCTTCCAAAAAACTAGGGAAACTAAAAAGTTATTTTCCTTCATTCCCTGAAAGTCCTCCTTTTGGAGCGTGGACTTCCCCCTGTTTTCTACTTGGCCTCTCTCTCTGTAGCTTGAGTTGTCAAAGCAGCAACAATCCTGCTCCATTAGTATGGTAATGAGGCCGGTGGCCGACAGGTGGCCCGCTACAAGGCTCAATTAAACTGCTCATTAAAGAGGGAAGTTAACGAAGCTGCAGCCCGGTGCCAGTACGGCTAATGCACACAATGTGATGTCACAGGCAACAAATTGCTGGTGAGTAGGGGAGTGTGTCAATGTGTGAGGAGGAGTGGGAGGGGGGAGTCCTGACATCTGACCAGAAAGTCTGTCTGTGTGTGGTCAGAGACTGGGAGAGTTAGACGGACAGAACTAATAAGGCAGCAGCACAGCTCAGTGATCAGCAGCCATGATGCCATGATGTCAGCCAAACGTGGCCTTTTATTGTCCTGTTAGGACTGCGGCCCACAGCATCATTACCTGGACATGACCAGAGTAATGATCTCATTATAACCTGCCGTACAAACATCACAACACAGGACACTTTTTAGAGATTCTCTTAACGTTAATGTAGGAAGGTAAATAATTCATCATCATCAACCAAAGTCTAACATTTAATTAAAATTAGTTACTTATTTTTCATGTCTGGTCCAGATGCGTCATTATTATGATGCATTGTTTAGCATTTACACATGCATTCTAGCAGTTTTAGCCGGTACTGGGACTGCGCTCCTCAAGATAGAAATGATCCGTGGTTGTGAAAGATAATGAAAATTGATGTTTGTCAAAATAACTCCACAAAAGTGTATGACATTTGGTTTTGATCAATATGAAGTTTGAAACCAGCTGTGCTGCAGTACTTAAATTTAATCTCTGTGTCATCAGTCGATTCCTTTGACACCATGTTGCAGTGTGAGCTAGTTATGCCATTTACTATTGGTTTTTGTTTGTTTTTGAAATTAAATTAACTGGGTGTAAAGGGGAGTCTAGGATATAGGTGGCTGTCTTTTCTTTATAAATGGAAAACTATTGGTTTCAGGCACTGGTTTGACTTAAAAATTATATATGTAAACAATTGTCAAAGACATTGTTTCATTAATTTCACTTATTCTGCAACAGTGGGTATAAAAATTTTCGGATTAACGGTATGGGTTAGTATTGTCATACATTATAATCCCAGACACAGTTTCCAAAGGCAACCAGTGTGCCATTAAAAGAGGCCATTGTTCCACAGTAATTAATGTTTTTTTTTTGTTCACGCTAAACTGGGATTAGCATATTCATAAGGTCAGACATCTTTCAGACAGCTTTGACTGAATCAGGAGGGTCTGTTTTCTCTCCGTCTACTTATTTGTGCCAATACATAACCCTGTTAGTTGACCGCAGTCCCATTAACTCCCATGATCCTCCCTGTCGCAGACACAAACACCACACACACTCTGGCGGCAAGAAACAAGACACATTTTTCACACTTGAGAGAGCACGACCCGGGATTACAGACTGAGGGTTACAGACTGATTACCATTTCCTGCTGCATCTTTATTCTCATACATAACAAACATTTGGCCACTAATAAAACATGATGGACCCTGCGCTGCCCTTCACTTTCATTACGAGCTCAAGGCCTCAGGTCTGTGCAGCAACAGGTTCAGTCATTTGGTTGACATGAAGAGGAAAATACATTGAGATGACCTGTGAAGCTCCTCGGTCCAAAGTGTGGCAGGATGATCTTTACCTCTCACAGTTTATGTAGGAAACACCACAGGAACATTAATGTTACATTCTGATGTAATAGAGGTGAAGGACAGACGTAAAAGAAGAAACGTTAAAGTTTCCTTTTGCCATATTTTCAACACACCCACATCCTATGATACTTTTATGGTGATAAAATTAATCTATGACAATTATTGTAGCAACTAGGATTGCATCCATTCATCCATCCATTCATCCATCCATTCATCCATCAATCCATCCATCCATCCTTGCTTCCTGTCCTGACCTGTGTCCAGTGTCATTTGTAACAGCCCGCCCCCTCTCTTGGCATCATCTACACCATTGTTTCCCAAGGACTGGGTTTTTTTTGGGTCATCTCGCATCATGTTTCCCAGGCGTTCACGGTCACTGCAACAGCTGTCTGCATCCAACCTCAAAATAGCTGCCAGTTTAGAAGCTCCAACTGTGGTTATGTTTAGAACTTGAGTAATACTAATTGTTCAGATATCACTCAATAAAATATCCTCATTAATGTTCAATAATGGTGAAGTACACCTTTATTTTGTGATTTACCAATAATGGCTATTGAGTTGGGTCGCGAAGGTTAGTGACTTTCAAAATATGGGTCCCCAGAAAAAAAGTTTGGGAAGCACTGATTCACGTCCCTTCAGCAGCAGCAGCAGCAGCAGCAGCAGCAGCCCATCACTGAGGTCCAGTCAGTCAGTGTAGCTGCAACCCACTGCTCTATTATGCCACTAATTGGTGGCATGAGTGAGATGGCTACAATATCAAAAGGCAGGAAGCAAAGGCTGGAGGCACTTGGAGGAGGGGGCAGATGAGTTCTCATTAGGGGAGGGCGTGTTCATTCTGCATCTTAGAAGCAAATTAGGGCGACAGGGGAGTGACAAGGTTTGTGCATGCGTGTGTGTGTGTGTTGTTGAGTGTGCGTTCATGTCACTCTCCAGGGTTTTGGTCAGTAAGTGTTGTGTATGAACTGGACAATAGATTCAGTAGTTTTGGTGTATGAGGCTTTGGGATAAGCTGCTCTAATAGTAGTGGGAAACAGAAAATGGAACTGTGGGAACTGTGGGCGATGTGAAGGTGTTGAAAAGGTCATTCCAACAGGACTGGATATAAGAGTTTGATTTGTTCACAGCTCATTCACATGACTTCTCCAGATTACTACTTATTGGCCATTTTTGGTTCTTGGTAGTTCATGGATTTTAGAAATAAAAGTCACTTTTCTTACAAATGAAGCAAATGCTTTCAAAGTGCTGTAGCTTTTTAAATCATAAAAACAATATGTTTTGTGGGCTAGAAAATAAAAGCGCATGCTCTGAGACCTGGTGGACTCATAGCAACAACTCACCAGCCTCTAATAGTTGTATTAAGGTGGTGGGCCAGACGAGATTGGGATGGTCCAGAACGACAACGCCACCTTTAGTTAAAGATCGACTGAGACAAAGCTAAATGTCTGGGTTAGAAACGTGAGCCACTATAGGCCTGTCATGTATTGCTAAATGCCCGGGTAACAAACTGTGGCATATTTAATACATATGACGTCATCGTCATCTGGCCCACATGCATGGATTGAAGGTACTTGGGGGGGGCTCTCCTGTGCCAGAACTGGGCCACACAGAGGGCCCCAGGTCAGAGTTTTAATTTTATTATTTTTATTTTTGAATTTGATTGTTTTGAAGCTCGGTTAGCTTAGCTTAGCTTCGAACACATTAACTTCCGTATGTCCTATGTCCATGGAACGTCATATTGTGTGTCGTCTTCTATCTGTAAATATGTAAATATCCAGAAGTGCTTTATATTTGACAGTGGCTGGAGGTGACAATAATCTTCTTGTTGTGCATGTCAATGAAACATTGTTTTTTTGGAGCCAGTGTTCGACCAGTGTTTTTATGAGAGCTAGACCAAAAAAAAGAAAGAAGAAAAAAAGACACATTTGTATTATTATCATTCTTTTGTGTTTCGGAAAACAACCATGGTACCCATCCACCCCTCTAGCCCCGTTCGCCTTTCACCTCGGGGCATATTCTGCACCCTGATCCCCCCCTTCCTCCATTACTTCAACTGACCCCCCATTTTTGGGAGAGAGCAACGTTACATCTTAATCTCGTTCGCTTGAAGGAGAATGTTGGTCCCTGAAAGGCAGCATTTTCTGGTTACATGAACCCATTAGGAGTGGATCAACCATATGCCAATTGACATGGCCGTGGCTGAATGCTGAACGTGGATTGTAACAGTGGTCCCAAGACAAAAGCCCCCCTGCTGCTCCCACACCTCCACCAGAACTGAGCAGACGTTAATGCTGCTGCTGACACAAGGCCCCTGACTCACTCCCCCCCCCCCCCCCCCCCCCCCCCCACCCAAACACACACACCACAATATAAAAAACACACA